CTTACTCTACCCTGTACACCAGAAGTGCATCGATCACAAGATAAAATATCAATTATCAACTGTCAGTCGATCATCCTCCTGAACAAGGTGCACGATGGAGGTTGCCAGTTAGACATAAGCTATCAGTACTTATTTGAGTCTGAAACAGGTGATGGGCGAAGTTCTCCTGAACCATGCAATTAGAGATAAAACGTCTAGGCGCCTCTCTTTAGCCTCTCATTCACCAGTGACCCTCTTTCTCTTTCACTCCTTCAATACAACATTGGATACCTCAACAACCAGAAATGAATGCCCTGCTTCCACAACCTTGTACCAGCAATAAGAAAGACTCCCGGGGCGGGGTACCTCATCCCCAATGCATTCGACAGCTAACAAAACTTGAATTATTATCATTAAACCTCCCCTTTTTTTCAATACTCTCCTCTCGTCAATCACCTTCACTCCCAGACACGTGCCTCATTACCAGAGTAGCCTAAGAACAACCGAATAACCTTTGTTTGTTTATGGATTTTATTTATGAGACGGTGAAGAATGAGAGTTCCAGTGGGTGGAGTTCCACATGAACATCGAAAACAGCCCAAGTTCTATAATTTTATGATACCCTTTCTCTCCCACTGGAATTGTTACTTATGGCCTTCCAACGAGACTTAATGCCCCACGATTGGGGTACAACCGAGGCGCCAGCAAAGTCGTTCACAACTTTTCATTATTTTTTTCTCTTAATTCCGCGAGTTGAGTTTCCCGGGGTTTTCCTTCTCCAAGGCCAACCAAACTTGGGGATTTGTGGGTGAATGAGGTGGAAGTGGAGGTGTTGATTGTTCCTCCTGCTTTTTATTCCAGAGATTTCAATCATTGTCAGCTCCCGTCGTTTGATGATGAATGCAGTGAGAGTTTGTTGTTCCTAGAATCGTTAATGTCTCCTCGTGCCAGGGTTTCATCTCTTGTTTCTACTCGATTTCCGAGGGTCTCATGCAGTACAGCTGTGTCACGTTCTGACTCAGGCACCAATGACTAACCTCAGCTACACCCTCGAATCCCTCAAAGCCCTGTC